CGGTGGTGTTTTTATTTATTTTTTCGCTGCCTTAATCAGAAAAAAAGTTTAAGCCAAAAACCATGGAGCCGTCACGGTAATTTTTTTACAATTTAACCCCACAACCTTCCTAAATATTGGTCTACAATTATTAATTAAGGGCTGAATTAGAATCACCAAATGTGCACAGGGGCAAAAATTCCCGGGGGGGGGGGGCACCTACCTACCAAATTTAGTGTTTCTAGGTGTCATAGGAGCCAATCGCGAGGGGGAGGGTCGTATCAATTCCCCCCCCCCCTCTTCCAGGCCGCGTTATGAAAAATGCACTGCCAGGGCAAGGGTTAACGCACAGTATCTCCTAAATTCGATAACGGTTAACGGTCTGTAAATGAACAAAAAAAACATGTATTGATTTTAGGTAAACATTGCCTTCAGGGTCACCGCAAGATCATGATCGAGTGAGCGCTTCTGCCCATGGTCATTATACATAACATTGTGCAAGTTCCTCAGCATGACATCACGACTGTTCTTATGCCTAGTTCTAAAATGCATGTATGAAATTAATCGGGAATAAATCCCATGCTGACATTATAAGCGCTGGCCCTTTTCGCTGCCTAAACTGGGCGATACTCGTAAGACGAATGCCTAGTGTATACTTGGAGCGGAACCACTTTTGAAAAAAACGAACTAAGGTACCTAAGTTTATCCTCATAATGATGATGACGATGATGATATTCTTATTATGTCAGTAAGTACGATTATCTAAACCACTGCAGCGTAACCAATACTGTTCGAGTTCGGAGTGACGCTGCCCGTGCGGTGGCGGAGCTGCCGCGTTTGCACTTCTCTCCTGTGTTACATAACGCTGCCAGAGTCTGTAAATCCCAATCAGTTGTGTAACTTCGACAAGATATCATTTACATAAGTGCGGGGGCTTGTTCGAATAGATAAATTAGTTCAAACGAATTGAGGTGTGAACTGAGATGGTGCGACTCCTAAACAAATACGACAAGCATAAAAAATTACAGCATTTAGGCGCTGGAGGAAAGAATTTAAGCCAAGTATAGATTTGTCTTTAGAGAAAAACCGTATGTTACCTGCCTATGGGCTTGAAAATATTTAATCCGATAACGGAATCTTCGAGCCACAGAAAGCTTAACATTTCCAGCACTTTTGCCACAGATTCATGCTGCTTAGCAATTAAATGCCTCGGCAGTCAAATAGTACGACAGCATATCGATGCATTAACCCTCGCCGGACCTATTGGTTTTCTACATACGCGCTGGCCGAGGGGGGGGGGGCGGGTACGGGGACCCGCAGTTGCTACTGTACACGAACCCCAACTCTAGCCGTCTGTCCTGTCCAGTAACAACCGATAACATTGATATCGACTGCCAGTCCCTGTACAAGAGCAGCTGAGGTTTTCTGTGCGTGCCCTCTGACAGCTTATCGTTGTTCCCTGTGAGGATGCTGGGACAATTTGCTCAGGGTCGCTGTACAGTCTGTCTTAAAAGTACCGCGCAAAGTGGCGGTGGATCCATCGAGCCTGACTGAGGAAGGGCCTGCTAAATTTGGGTCACCGAAGCAATGGACATCCTCGTCCATTCCCCAGCTCAATTGGTTCGGTGACTTTCAAATTAAAGCAGACCTTTCTCGGTCAGGCTTGATGGATCCACCGCCACTTTGCGCGGTACTTTTAAGACAGACTGTACAGTAGCAACTGCGGGTCCCCGTACGACCCCCCCCTCGCCGTTTCGCCCCTGGTGGAGCTAGCGCGTCGCGGAAAAAACGAGCGTGTGCGCCGTTACGAGACGCAGAGATTGGTACCCGATTTTAAGGTCCTAGGTCAACCGGTGACCTCTGAGGTCAGGTCAAGTGCCCCAGGGTACGGTTCAGTTTTTGGTGAATAACTTCGCAAAAAACGGCCGCAGAGCCGCAATTTTGGCAGCATCGTGTTCGCCTCGCTCAGGCGCGTCGAATGATATACTTTTTGTTCGGGTCAGGTCAACTTAGGGTGTTGACCTCAGGTCAAGGTCAGGTCAGCACCCCCAGGTCACGAAGTTGGTCGAAAGAGGTCATGTCGCATATCATTCGATTCGGCAGGTCTTCCTGAGTCCATTGGTGGCTTTTTTGACTCGCTAGCTCAATTTGGTCGGGAGTTATTGACGAAAAACTAATATGACCTTGATGACGTCATAAATGACGTCACGGAAGGTCAACATTGCAAAAGTGACGGATCTAACCTTGCAAGGAGTGCATCAAATCACGATTCTGTGTGCTTGAGATAGTTGGAGATCGTTCCCGGCGCCAGAATAGCAGTTTTCATTTTTCCCCATTGACTTATAATGGTGAGGTCACGAAAATGACCTGACCTCATATGACCTTTAGGAAAAATCCGAGATATACAAGTTGTGAGACTCATAATGGATACTAGATCCTGCAAGTTTCATTTCCCTGTGACATCTCCTCTGGCAGTGAGGGCGTTGCGAAGTTGCGACATCTGAAGACCGTGCAGAGGTTCACTTATGACGTCATAGGTCAGTGACCTGACCTGACCCAAAAATGCGGTTGGTGTCAAAAGATGCGGCTTGGATCAAAGGTCAGGTATGCCAAGTTTCAGCTCTCTATCGCCAGCGTGTTCGGAGCTATCGCGAAAAATCCCTATGGGGGGGGGCGGCACCCGCCCCCCCCCCCCTCGGCCGGCGAGGGTTAACCCTCACCCGTATGGAGGAGGGAGGGAGGGGGGTCGAACGGACCCCTTGGTTCTTTGTGGATAGCTCGCGTAAAAAAGCGGTCGATCGCGACGAAACTTTCAGTACCCTCGCGATAATCCATTTTCACCTACCCTGAACATTTCATGACCCTGACCCAAATCACCTGTGACCTGTGACCTACTTTTCGAGACCATGTTTGGCCGCAATCGCGATTCGTCGTATGTCGGCTCGCATTAGCCGCGCGTTTGCAGTCTTTTCGTGGTTGCAAACGTTCCAATATGTGATATGATGCTGCTCCCATACATTAGGGTGGGTGTCGAGGTCACCTGAAGGTCTGACCTTTGATGATTTCGGTTCACTCCTTCGAGTTCTAATGTTTCTACTTTCTAGGCTATTTTTTGGGGCTGAATTCGAATTTAGCAACCATTTGAACGTCAACGAAGTAGTTTTGGTGCCTTCGGAACATGTTAGGAAGCTGTCAGAGGCGGTTGACACCTACTTCGAATACCCGGCAGGACCCCTACTGGTTGACCTGACCTGACCTGATCCGACCTTGCCTAAATGCATAAAGACTTCATCAGTGACTAAAACGAACATGGTATCCGTGATCAGCACCACGAAAAGTCCCATAGCAGCCACACTTTGCGACGTTCTAACAGGTCCCGATTTTCCCGACTTTTGGGTCATTTACTTGACCTGGAAGGTCAACCAATGACGTAGGACCTTAAAATTGGGTATCATCGGCTTCCTCTCGTCACGGGCAGCACGCTCGTTGTATCCACGAAGTCCTAGCTCGTTCAGTGACCAAACGGCAAGGGGGGTCCAACGTCCCCCCCCTATACGTTCGCGGCTGGCAATACACCAATATGGGCGAGGGTTAAAGTCATTTATGTGAAACAGTATGCAAATTATATTCACGAAAATAGATTACCAATCAGATTCAATGTGCCGGTAAAAATATGAAAGAGATAGATAGAGAGAGAGAGAGAGAGAGAGAGAGAGAGAGAGAGAGAGAGAGAGAGAGAGAGAGAGAGAGAGAGAGAGAGAGAGAGAGAGAGAGAGAGAGAGAGAGAGAGAGAGAGAGAGAGAGAGAGAGAGAGAGAGAGAGAGAGAGAGAGAGAGAGAGAGAGAGAGAGAGAGAGAGAGAGAGAGAGAGAGTGGTGCTAGAGCACCGCGGAAAAACGGGCGTGTGCGCCGTTACGAGACGCAGCGATTGGTACCTGATTTTAAGATTTCAGGTCAACCGGTGACCTGTGAGGTCAGGTCAAGTGACCCAAGAACAAGATGCGGCTTGAAGGAAAGGCCATTGCGGGCGTGTTCGGGGCTCTCACAAAAACCCATGGGGGTGGGGATGGGGGGGGGGTGGTACCCACCCTCGACCGGCCAGGGTTAGACCAGGTAACTAGACCAATAATATTATTTCTGGTTCAGTAAAGAAATGATTTGAAAAAGAGAAAATGACGCTTTAGTGACGCCAAGTCATCACGGACGTATAAATCACATCATGCAATTTCCGCTTCCAAAGCGGCATAACTTTAAACCCCTGTAACATCTTCAGTTTTTAAGGAAACAATCCGTAACAAAGTTCTTACGTTATTTTTGTTCGTCATTTAAATTTTTCTCGATTTCTTTTAATGTTTTGGATTTCGACCAAAAGTTGAAAAAAACTTTTTCGGAGGGGGCGGAGAAATCGTTATAAAATCCAAATTTTGAGCATTTCGAAAAAAATTGGAGTATTTGTCAGAGGAAGCACGGTTTGTGAACCTACATTTGTTTTGTTAAGAATCGAATGAAAACGAAGCAAATATTCAAATTTTAGTGAGGGCTGACGACTAAAAACAACTATTTTTTAGAAGTTTTAGAACTCGAATGTGAATGAAAATAGCACAAATCGTTTTGTCATAAAAAACTGCATCCTACACACTTGTCTAAAACCCTAATTCAAATATTTGACCTCACTTGACCTGACCTTGCGCTGAACTTGACCAAATAAGGTCTAACTGATCTTGGTAAACTCAAAAGCCTCCCTCCCGGATTGTGACGGTAGGAAGTGTAATGTAAATGACCCGGCCCTGACCGGGTCTAGGAGTAGGAACCATTCAGTGTCAGCGGGCACAGTCATGCAAGTACGCCTACAGGTACAGCCAATCACCTGCGGTACTGCCCCCCCCCCCCCCTCTGCTGGGACGCCTACAGCGAGTCACCTACCCCCCCCCCCCCCCCTCCCCCCGGCGCAGCTGCTCAGAGTCGAAGTGGGCCGGGCACGACGCTATCTCGGGATTTCCTCCATTTAAACAGTTTGAACGGCACCCCCGGCCCGTGGAAGCGGCTCGGCCATTCGTGACCTCGACTCAGACGGGGACACAGGTCCGGCCCGCAGCGCCCGCTCGTCCCCCGCTCCCCGCCCCTCTCTCCAGCTCCCCGCCCCCTCTCTCCAGCTCGGCGGCGCCATGGTGGCTGCTCTCCGTCCGTGCGCGCTGCTGGCGGCGCTGGCCGTCAGCGGCGCGCTGGCCGCCTTCGACCCGTACGTGGCGGGCCCGTACACGGCCGGCCACCTGCTCATCGGCGCCGCCTCGCAGACCGGGCTGCCGACGGACGTCAGCGTCTACGTGCCGGACGGCGCGGCCGGCGCCTTCCCCGTCATCATATTCCTCACAGAGTTCCAGGGTAAGTAGCTGACGACTCCGCCACCCGAGGCGCGGCCGGTGAGCTCACCTGCGGCCGCCTGGTCACGGTAGCAGCTGGTCTGTCACCGTCTGGTCACGGTAGCAGCTGGTCTGTCACCGTCTGGTCACGGTAGCAGCTGGTTTGTCACCGTCTGGTCACGGTAGCAGCTGGTTTGTCACCGTCTGGTCACGGTAGCAGCTGGTCTGTCACCGTCTGGTCACGGTAGCAGCTGGTTTGTCACCGTCTGGTCACGGTAGCAGCTGGTTTGTCACCGTCTGGTCACGGTAGCAGCTGGTCTGTCACCGTCTGGTCACGGTAGCAGCTGGTTTGTCACCGTCTGGTCACGGTAGCAGCTGGTTTGTCACCGTCTGGTCACGGTAGCAGCTGGTCTGTCACCGTCTGGTCACGGTAGCAGCTGGTTTGTCACCGTCTGGTCACGGTAGCAGCTGGTTTGTCACCGTCTGGTCACGGTCATTGTTTGAGTTCAGCACAGCAGACTGTCTGAAGTCTGACCTCAGCAGCGTGTGCTGTGCTGACCTCAGACGGTCTGGTGTGCTGAACTCAGTAGCGTGTGCTGTGCTGAACTCAGTAGCGTCCATGCTGTGCTGAGTTGACCCAAGGCTTGTTTTATGCGTTACCAACGGAAATTTAGGATACATCTGAAAGTGCATAATGTCGACTTTCAGCAATCAGAATCTGAATGACCAGAGCGACATTAAAAACATTGTCGTTTGTGCATGGAAGCCGGGGGAAGCCCGGCATAGTAAGCTCTTTTTCATTTTTATTACATACCATACGTGCTGTATAAAATGTTGATATCCTGTTAGCTAGATAAGTTAATTGGCCGTGTTTTCCCAAAAATTCGGTTTCGTGGAAATAGTATAATGTTGAGAAAATCGAGTTTTAAAAAGTGTTGAATTTTCTGGGGTAAGCCCGGCATAGGGGTAACGCCGGCCACCTCCCCAGTGCTTTACAACGAGTTGATGAAACCATTATGTGTCTTCCAAATATTGACGGAAAGTAAAATATTAAGGTACTGATTAGCTCTGGACATCTTATAGTTTATGTCACTACTGGTATTTTAGCTAGCGTCTACCACATATACAGTACAGGTCGATGAAAATTGTGATGCAAAATTGACAAAAAATGTGTAATACAGAATTCCTTAAAATTATTTTTTTTTTATTTTCCTAAATGCATCATATTGCATATAATTCGACTCGGCTGATGAAGAAGAACACAACGACGCCATTTTTGAAGCTCTAGCTTCATTGTCTGTCGCGTTATCCACAAAAAACGTAATTTGACCCTAGTTGACCTCAAGTGACATGACTGTTCCTGTAGCATACAAACATAAACTTAGTCACTTATTGATATAAACTGATGGAGGGTAACTAAAAACCGTTAAAATGGAGTGGATATCTCCCATATTTTACAGTAAAAACCAGGCAAGCAATCGCCCTTCATCAATACCTGATCCAGAATTGGAGGATCAAAAGCATGCGATAGCATGTTTTTGCATCCGGAAATTCCCATTGGTGGGTCGCTGAAGAAAAGTTCGGCCCAAGTTCGGCCAAGCCTGTTTGTCAGTGAGTATGTGAGTATGTGAGTACATATGTGAGTGAGTTTGTCCAAGCATTTTTGGACCTGGAGTCAAAATGGGAGGACCAATCGGGACGAAAGTGGGACCGTTCGACTCGTCTCCGGCGAGGTAAACTTTTGGTGCTGGTCTCGGTTCGCTCGGTGCTTCGTGGCACACGCTATTCCGCTTCAAAGTTTCGGTGACACGATTTTTTTTTTGTCAAGGCTACAGGTCAACCCGAGGTCACGGGCAAAGCCATACTGGCGGGACACATCGGTAACACCTTGAACCAGTTTCCAGGGGGGTCACCGTTTGCGAGGGGTGCAGGCTGCACGTGCTGGGGTCGGAAAACCGTTTTGACGTGAGGTCCTCTGGCTCAAAGAAATTTTAAGCTATCAACCTCAAAATCGGTTCAATGGTAGTCCCAGGCAAGGCCTCCAGAATAATGCAAATTTGGTTGAGCTAAACTCTGTGGTGCATGAGCTATGCACGTGCAAGCCGATTGCACCCCTTCGTACGTTGCCACGCCTGCAGGGTAAACGGCAGCTCTAACTGGTTCAAAACTTGCAGGTCATAAGAAGAATACATTTGATCACGACATTCCGGCGAGATAATATCCGAGGGGTGCAAGCTGCGCGTGCGGGGGGCGGATAACGGTTTTGACGATGGATCCTCTGATCCCGGGAAACGTCGAGCTAGCGACACAAAAGTCGGTACACTGATACACACGCTACAGGGTGTCGCCACACGCTACAGGGTGTAATGAAAATGACTGCACTGGGGTACCTGGGACATGAACTACGCACGCGCAGTTAATTAATATCTTACTGTAGGTAGATATCCACACCAATCTCACGTGCTTCCAAGCATTTTTGGGATGTTTTCGGTTGGTTTCAGGTTCAGTCCAAGCTCAGTCCAAGCTCAGTCTGGGTTTCGGTGGTTTGGCCCGGTGTGTGCCCTCAGTCCGTTCCTCCAATTCTGGCCCAAGGCAACGCAAGAGCGCTGCCGGCATCTAGTATTTACAGGCACTGGAATAGAGCGACAGGCCGAAGAGGCTTTGTCTATGATAACATGTTTATTTTCGAAATTTATCTTTGATCTAGGTGTAAACTAAACCTACTCAGTACCTATTATCTCATGGAAAACACTGGTTTAGTGGCATTGCTCTCGGTCGGGGGTAAGCTTGGCCACTCGCCCGGGGTTACCCCAATGTGCTTGTTTTTATTTTAAAACAGCGATGTTAAAAAAGTCATACTTAAGCCAGCCTGCCTCGTCACCTCTCAGTACAAACACTTAAACGGTCCTTACATAACATTCGTATAAATATTAGGACTGTATAGTGTATGGTATAACATTAACAGTGCAACATATCTCACTTTTTAGCTAAAAACCCTTAAAATATCATTTTTGCTCTATAACTTTAACAATATGCAATTTTTGTTAGCGTTAACTTTTTTGCTTGCGTTACCTTGGCTGCCACGCTGAAAGGACAAACAGTTGAGCATTTTATTGTGAATAATTTAGCCGGAAACGGGGTGGCCGGGCTTCCCCGCGCCCGGGCTTCCCCCGGCTTCCCCTACATATAGTAACTATATCTGGCCTACCTTTTTCCATCTAAGACTTAATCACTGCAATAACTCGCCTCCCTTTCTATATACATAGACAAAGTAACTGACTGTCCTGCTCGGCGCAGACACAGTAACTGAGCTTCCTATACGCCGAGATATAGAGGATTCTTCATGGCTCCGAGTGGAAGATCAGGATATCTTTTCCAAGCGGGTTACTGAAAAACCGAGCGACGAAGGAGCGAAGTTTTTCTGGAACACGCGAGGAAAAGATATCCGATCTTCCACGAGTGAGCCATGAGGAATCCTATATCTTTCTATGTTGAGGTTTAATGAATTAACACGCGCACTGCAGCGGGTCTGAGCCGAACACGAACTGCAGGGGGGGGGGGGGGGGGTTGAAAACAACCCCCCCTGAGATCTCGAAAACGGCGCAACGTAGCGACAAGCGGTAAACGGCGTTGGATAGGTTGAGATGAGATCTACAAGAAATACAAAGATCATTTTTGGGTCAGGTCAAAAACGAGGTCAGCAGAGGTCACCAAACTCAAAATGTTGTGATTTTTTTTAGCGATCTCGACATCCCTCCATATTTCCCGCTTTATCTCGGGAACTAGATGAGCTAGAAAGTTGCAAAAAAAAAACATTCGATAGCTGTTGAAACGCTCTTTCGTTAAGCTGTCATCAGATTTGACCTAAGGTCAACGGTTCAGCCTATAGAGGTCATGTAATGTCAGATCAATATTGCAAATTTTCCGGAAATGCTTTTTCTGCAATAACTTTTCTTCCCAAAGAGATAGAGAAATAATTCCCACACCATCGTTTTTAGCTCGTCAAGGCGCATCGAATGGTAAAAATATGACCTCGAAAGGTCAAATTCAAAAGTTGACCTCACGTCAAGGTCATGACCTGACCGAAATAGGTCATGTCGCTTATCATTCGATCCGCATTGACGAGAAAAACACGATAAACGTCGAACGGAGTCTCTATCTCTATTCAATTAAAAGTTATTGAAGAAAAATCGTTGGTGACCGTTGAATTGCATGCCGGGCCCAAAAAGTGACCTGACCTAAGGTCACAGAAATAAAAATTTCGAAATATACAAAATGTTCCTTATGGTCTTGTTGTGATGCGTGCTACTGAGCCGGCACGAACTATACCGGCGCAGTCAGCTGACAGCTGTTGCCAGCCGCCGCGGCGCCGGCCGGCGCCTGATGGTAGGCTGTGCCGCCCGGCAGCTTCCGGCGTCCTTGAGTAAAGAGTATTGTTGGGCCAGGGGTAGCCAGTAACAGTTGGTAGCATTAGGCCAAATGGGCGCTCAAAAACTACTACCCCATAGGGTTTCCATGTTAAATCGACCTTTTTCAAGCGAGCCTCACACGTAAGCTAAAAGATAAAGTGCCAATATTATTGTGGGGAAAGGTAGCCTCAAGCTTCCTCTACAACCTTTTTATCTAGCATTTTTCGATGCGGAGGCCATAACAGGCCCAAAAAGCATTGGGCGCTGCCCGAGGTACCAAAAGCCCCTCCATGAGAGCATAAGTTCCTGCGCATGCGCACATTGCTTCAACTCTGTACTGGCGTACATTAGTGATACTGCTCACGGACTCGGTCAGCCAATCAGCGTCCCCAATTACATTAATAGATGTCGCTAGCATCACGTGAATCCTGCTTGCGAACACATTTTAAGAATGAAACAGCTGCGCCATTTCCGCCTTCCATTGATTCCTTCCATCTTAGTATCAACTATACGCTTTTCAACTAACTTTAGACTAAGTTTTAAACTATGGTCAGTATGTTATTTCTGGTACATTTAATTTAAAAATAACTGCTTTATGAATTTGGCTTTACTC